AAGACTAGTCTTCATTTTGCATGTAAAGATTTAAAGACATCAGAGCGTTTCATTCTGTATGCAAAGAATGACTTGGTTAAATATTTAAAGTTTAGGATTAGTGATTACACTGAGTTTCCGCAATTCATCAAACATTTATAATAATGTGTAAGCACCAGTAAGTGGCTCAGTGACTATTTGCTGTTTCAATATAATTTATTTGATGTTAAACAACATATAATAAGAAATACAAAATACAAATCTTGCTTCAAAACACTTATCAAGAAATAAGATACAGACAATTGTGAGTTTAATAAAATAAGTGGGCTGTAGAACTAGCTGGAATTCAAATCTTAGTGTCAACATTACTAGCTGTATGAACTTGTGCAGGATACTTAAATGGTCTGTTTTTTATAAATGATGATAATAATAATAATAATAGTAGCTTGCCTCTGGAAACCCTGTGAACCTAGAGAAAGGATGAAAGTTATACAAGTCTTGTGTTCTTATGGTTGCTACGAGTCACCGACACCTTGACGGCACTTAACAATAACAACTCATAAAGTTGTTATAAAAATTATGCTAAAGGCAATGCATTTAAGGAACTTAGCATAGTGTACAGCACAAAAGAAACAATTAATGTTACCATTAATACATAACTAAATAGCTATCAGCACAACAAATATAAAATCAACTGTCTCAAATGAAGAGAAAATATAATTAAACAGAGTAGGCAATCTGAAATAGGAGGTGACAACCGAGGGACATAAGCTATTTACAGGAATGACCTGTTTAGTTCATGAGTCCATATTCCCACTTCGGCATGAAAGTAAGTTGGCTTTTAGGGAGCTTTTAATCCCTAGGTCCAATTATTTTTACTACCTAATAAATGCATATTCCTGCAGGAGAAGGATGGGCAATCTCCTCTTGTGCGATTAACTACCTTTGAAAAGCCACTGGACAGACAGCTATGGGTCACTTCTGACTCGATGGTACACAACACACACACAACAGTGTATATTCCTGGTTGAGGCTATTCTTCAGAAAAGGACATCAAGCTTGGAAAGATGGAGGGTCAGCAAATAAGAGGAAGACCCTCAGTGAGATGGACTGACACTGTGACTTCAGCAGTGGGCTCCAGTGTCTCCGAGATGAAGGTGGCACAGGAAAGGGCAGGTTGTACAGCAACGGTTCATAGTGTGACTACGAGTCACATCCAACTCAACAGCACCTACCACCACCACCACTACCAATGTATATTCCAAGGGTGCTCTGGCGGCTTAGTGGTAAGGAACTGCGCTGTAAACCCAAAGGTAAGCAATTTGAATCTACCAGCTGCTCCACAGATGGGCAATCTCCTCCACTACAACTAACTGCCTTTGAAAAATCACTGGAGGGTCGGCTATGGGTCAGTTTCAATGGTACATAACAACAAAAACAACAATGTATTTCTTTTCTTTTGCTTCATTCACAACTAATGGTTTCTGCCTGTGGAAAATGCAACACAATACAGTAACCCCACATAAGTCTTTGGATTTATGTTAGAGGTAGCCGATTCTTCCAGTGCCATGTGAAAAGAGCTCCATTACTGTAATATCCTTGGCTTCTCTCCAGAGCTCTACTCACTATTCCTCAGAAGAGGTTTAATGTGTTACCAACTGGTAAATTTGGGAAGAATAAAGGAAACATGTTGCCTGATCCAGTGCTGTTTAACTCTAATGATAAGCCTATTTAATTTGAGGGTTTAGTTAATAGACTCACTTTGTTTGCATATTAAGCTACATCTTCTTTACTAATCCTTTTTTGCTCTTCTATTTTATCTTATTTTTCAATTTGTTCAGAATTCAAGTAAGAAATATTGGAGTATTACTGGGGTGCTTTAAACAGCAATAATTGTTTTTTAAAAATGTTGATTTGAGTCTATTCAGTAGGATACCAAAGACATAACAATGAATAAGATATAGTCCCTGTCAGGAGTGATAGGGAATGGCAAAGGACACACCGACAAAGGAGATTAATCAGAACTGACTTTGACAAGCACTGTGGCAATTGGACAATTAAAACAGACATT